AAAAAAAAAAAAAAAAAAAAAAAAAAAGGCTCCGAGCCCTCGATGGGGACTAATGAGTTGAGTTGAGGTGACAGTAGTACTTGTTTCTAATAACAATAGAGTTGAAATTACCTGAATTGCTTCTATAATTGATTTGTTATTATGTTATTTTGTGAAATCTTTCGGACAATCGTGCGCGTGCGCCGGTAGCTCTCTTTGTTATAATGAACTACGATTCTCAAACTTCCGTTAATATAATATACCTATTTTTGTAGCCTAAGAACGGGCGCACACCTTTGACTAAACTATCGCACAACTAAAAATCGAGTAGTGTCCTTCATATAAGCTCATAGGAATCAAAGCGCGACTAAACAGTTTTGCGATAATTTAGTCAAAGTTGTGCACGCGCTGTAAAACGCTATTTTTTTTATTCTAAAACTATTAAGTTTCTAATCGAAACTTTGAGAACGTCTGTACAACAAAAGTCAGTTACGACAGCCGTTACAATTTGTCCATCAGAACTGTCTTCCGGTAGAAAAGGACGGGTATATCGCAGTACCTACGTGTACGAGAGAGACGGCGCTACATCCACCTGTCTACCATCAGTTGGTATTCTTTTTTTAAGGTTTAATTAAGTCAGTACCGTGCAATACTCTACGTACTACTTTTGAATTATTTTCGTAATTAAAAATAACTTTTGTGAGATTTTTATTAACAAATAGTTAACATTACCTCTTACTAATATTATAAATGCGAAAATATGTACAGATGTTTCTTTTTTTTTTTTTTTTTTCGGCAAAGATGTATTGTACAATTGTACAATTATTATTACTTTGAAGTCGGTGTCAGTCAATGTAGATTCATTACTTAAACGTTACTATACTTTCAATTGTCAATTGTTATGGTAAAAATGTGGAAACCCTTACGTAGAAATATCACTGCATACCTTGGCTGACACCGACATCAAAGTAAAAATAATTGTACAATATAGACATAACAGCTACAATAAGGGAGGTTAACTATTTTCAAGGAATTATTTCGTTACTTTTTTTTAGAATATATTGTTTTTAGTGTATTTTGTTTGAAAGTCGGTTTTGTTTTTTCTATTAAAAATTTATTTTTTAATCTGTGCGGACGGAGTTATGGTTTAACCAGTACTTGATGTTACACACAAATACTAGACAATTGCAACTGGAAAGACTTACTGCGTTGGTGCAGCGACCCAAAGTGGTTCTTGGCCTCCAACATGAGAGAGCGCGAGCGTCGTCTGTTCTGTGTCGTCGCCTACCAGCCGGTCGACTCTAGCTTGCGCAGGTCCAGCTCTACGGCGTCTCGCCAGCGGTATCTAGGCCGGGTCGGCGATACGCTTCCGAGATAAGCTTTAAGGACTTAAAAAGTATATTAATAGACAGGACAACACAACAAATAAGATTGCAGAAATTTTAAAAATTTACAGTGGTAGAGTCCGCTTTAACATCTTAGCACTGCAGGGCCGGCACGCCCGGTGTAATACCACGACCACACAGAAAACAGGCGTGAAGTGGAAGTAATTCCGTGTTTCGTCTGATGTGTGTGGTGCCGGAGGCCTAATTTAAGTCCTTTACTCCTTACCATCCTTTTCTCATAAGGAGAGGATGGGAAGGGGAAGTGGATTTGACAGCGGAGGAGATGCAGAGGAGGGGGAAATATCCTCTTTATGTGCGTTTCCTCCTCCGTCGGATAAGGGTAAGTGACGCATCTGCAATTGCGGATGTCTATGGGCAGCGGTCGCTTCGCCATTTTGGTGGATTCAGGTGGCCGCTTGCTCGTTTGCCACATTGTTATAAAAAAAATTATTAACTGCATAATTTACTGAAAAGCTACATGAATTTTTATAGCGCGAGCACATCTTTGAGTAAACTATGGCACAACTGTTTAGTTTTGCTTTGATTCATATGACGCACACTACTCGATTTTTAGTTGTGGTAAACAGTTGAATTGGCTGCGAAACAATCGACAATCGCACAACAGTGTTGCTTAGTTTAATCAAAGTTGCGTGCCATCTCTTAGGCCTTCGACAAAATTGTGGCAGTTTTAAAATGACGCAAAGTTCTATGCTATCCAGCTTGTTATATTGTAAAATGTCCTATGACATTAGCTCACTATACGTCCCCACTGAGGGGTTAGCTCTAAGTTAAGGGTGACTAGACCTTAGTCAACCACGCTGGCCTACTGCGTTTTGGTTGACTTCACACATCTTTGAATTTTATCGCCATGTGCATTACGATGTATTTCTTCACTATAAAAACGTCGGGTAAATAATGTACTCGTACATGAGAATCGAAAATCACATTGGTAATATGGCGGTAACATACTGTCTGTCGATTACAAGTCAAGTAACCACACAAGAGCGTCGGTGGCTCAGTGGTTTGAACACTTAACTTGTATTTAAACTTGGGTTTAAATCCCGCTGATCCAATGTGATTCGCGATTTTTCGAATTTTCATATGTACATAATTTACCCGACGTTCTTACGGTGAAGGAAAACATCGTGATGCCTGCACATATCGGCGAAGAAATTTAAAGATATGTGTGAAGTCAACCAAACCGCATTGGGCTAGCGTTGTTGACTATGGCCTAGTCACCCTAATTTAGGGGTAGCTGGTGATAATGATGATGATGCCACTGATCCACTAACAATTTACTATGGATAAAGATACTAAAGGAAATAGAAAAACGGCTGAACGAATCTCGATGAAATTTGGCATAGATGTAGAGGATAGTCTGGAAGAACACATATGCTACTTAGTTTTTATTTAATTCCACGCGGATGGAGTCGCGGGCGAAATCTATTACACAATAGAAGAGCTCATTCCTTGTAAATAAAACCGCGTAATTAAAAACCTACAAAACTGTCAACGCAATCACGAAAACAATAATGGCTCTTTTCCGTCTGGTATCCAAATTATATGCCTTTACATAAGGTCCTTACATAAGGGTAGCTGTGTGTGTGCACACATAGAGAGAGCCTGTCTCAGATGGCTGCGCGGGAGTCGACTTGTTCCACTCAAACGCATTTGAGTATCAAACACCAAGGTGTTCGGACGTCTCTACAATTGCGTTAAATAAAAAATTTAAATAAAAATAGTGTGAGTGCTAGTGTTTTCTTGACTGTGACTTTCGGTGTGTAATAGAAAGTTTTCGACGTTTTAGTATTTTATTTATCGAGTTGTATTTTTTAATAAAAAAAACGGCATTACGTGATTCTGTTCGGCCGCTTGACGATTTTACGCTTGAGGTATGTCTTGTTTCGATATTTTTCAAGCTTTATGTTATGAAATTTTAATTCTATTTCCGACTGTTTTAATATTTATTTTTTACTGTTTAATATTGTCTAAACGACAACTCTATATTTTCAACTATATTAAATGTATCTCAAAATGTAACTTAAACGAAGATCATGTCAATTCAGCTGACAATTTAGACAATAAAGCGTGTTCCGTAAATCTATCGCCATTATTATAAGTAAAGCTTGCCTTTTTGTGAGTTTCTACTACATCTATTACTGTCTCTATCTCGTTTAAGTTAAAAAGAGAGATGGTAATACATATAGAATGCAGTAATATTGTAAATAAATTAACAATTAAAAAGTGAATTTATATAAAATTCAATCAAAGTTCTTATTAGAGTGTACAAACAAATAAACAATTTTATAGATAGTTTACTAAATAGTGAACATAACGTTAAATAAAATTACATCTGCTAAATTTTCCTTTAGTTTCACTTATTTTCATAAATGCGGTTAACAAAATCGTTGAAGTAAATCAAACCTCCTTAAACATAACAATTACCCGTTTTACCTTATGATTTAATTAGCTTTCGCCCGACTCCGTCCGCGTGGAATTAAAAAAAAACAAAAGTGAGTATCCTATTTGTTCTTCCAGACTGTCCTCCACGTCTATACAAAATTTTATAGAAATCCGTTCAGCCGTTTAGGCTACTCTAACAAACATCCATCTAAACTTTCGCATTTATATTAGTATGATAAAAATACTTTACAATTATAATTGCCTATAAGATCCTTTAAAAAGACATATTAAATAAACCTCTTATTGCATAGAAATAGAAAATTAAATGAAGACGAAATACGTAAAGTTCGTTTAAGAATTGTCCGCCATTTTAGTTTGACGTTTCCACGCTAAGGATTTATTGCAAGGTAAAAAAACTTGGAAAGAAAAATATCAAGATAAACTATATTAGTACTGAAATGTTAATACAATAATTTACTGCGCAACAGTCTATGAACAAATAATATTTATTTACAAGCTAGCTTTCGCCCGCGACTCCATACACGTGGAACAAAAGAAACAAAAGCAAGTAGCCTATGTATTCTTCCATACTGTGTTCAACATCTATGCTAAATTTCATCCAGATCCGGACCGTTTAGGCTACAAACTGTAACAAACATCGATCTAAACTTTCGCATTTATAATATTAGTAATATGTACACTGTTACAAAACTAACTCGTATAAGGGTAGGCAACGCATCTGCAATTGCGGATGTCTATGGGCAGCGGTCGCTTCGCCATTTTGGCGGTTTCAGGTGGTCGCTTGCTCGTTTGCCACCTTATGTTTTATAAAAAAAAAAAACTTCTTGTAAAATTAAAATTCCACAAAGCTGTGGAAAATTACAAACTTCCTATACGCGGTCTAAATGAAATATCTTTAACTAGCTATTGCCTCCAACTTCGTACGTTCGGAATTAACAAAAAACAGCCTAATGTAATTCCAGATTATGTTCTGTTCCGAGCCAAATATCATTAAGATATAATAAGCAGTTTTACAGATACTTAGACAAATCCATCCAAATTATCGCCTTTAATATTAGTATTATGTTTGAAAGTAGCGCCAGTGGTGGAGAAATTGAGAACCAAAAGGTTAGCGTGGTATGAACATGTTATGCGACTAGACGATGGGGACATAAACTCTGGTTTATGTCCCCATCGTCTCGTGTTGAGTGTTAAGAATGAATGTGGATGGCTACAAAGAGGAAGACCGAAGAAAGTATGGATGGATTGTGTGAAAGAGGATATGCTTAAGAAAGGAGTGGATTCAGATATGACGGCTGATAGAGATGTATGGAAGAGCAGTACTGTGCCGACCCACTTGCCCTTTGCGTAAAGGATAAAGGCAAGTGGATGAATATTAGTATGATTTTTAGTAGATTTTAAATACTTTTAACTTTTTAATTCGTCTTGAACTTCATAGATAAAGCTTACGTAAGACAAGTGAAAATGTTTTTTACTTAATGTTAAGCTTCAAGTGTGGGAACGTATTGTGGGCGCGGGTCTAGGTTAAGCCTTTGTTTCACTGACGTTCCCATGGCGTTACCGGTCTTAAATTAACCTTTATGTCATAGACAGGCGAATGTTTTTTGTTGTTATCTATTTTTGTTTTCAACCAGTGTTATGTAAGGGAAAAATAAAATTGTTTATGGTATTCATTTATGATAGAACTTATAAATTAACTAGCTGTTCCCGTGCTACTTCATCCGCATAAAATTATGAAAATTTTATTTCATTGTTTACATTTGTCAAATTATCAATTGCAAATGTCAAAATGACATGACGCTGACAAACTTTGGCACCTTGCTTTCTTGATGTTTGCAGCAACTTATGTTCTCTTTCCCACATTAGGGTTTTTATCCAAAATATTTACCCCCTAAGTTTAATGGCGTGAAAATATATAACCTAAAGCTTGACGCAAGTGTAGGGCTTTTTATTAAAAAAAGAATTATTCAAAAATATGCTGTAATTTCTAACATCTTAGGCAACAAAGAAATGTGTGTTTACGCTTTATTATAATAGTATAGATATATTCATTATGAAACACCACACATCTAGTTATTGACCTTATATTGTTACTTAAAACCTCTATTCAAATAAATATTATAAAAGAAGGTTCAGTGGTAGAGCATGCTTTAACATCTTTTCACGAATGAGTCGGCTTGTCTACCGCAACTACGAGATAGGCATTTTTTGTGACTGAATGGCCACTATGCCTTGAAGAGGCATTTACAGATTTACCCGACTTAAGGTGGGCGCGCAGATGGCTTAGCCTAAACCTTGTTTATGAGTAACTAAGCTCGAGGACTCCCTTGCGAGCTTCGGCACGAGATATACTTCGTTATTATTACCGGATAGGGCCGCCAAGCTCTTAGATCGCTTTGGTGGATGCTCCATGAAGTGACTAGGCACAAGGGCATCGAGATAGGCAAGTGCGATCAATTCTGCATTACGTATGACGAATCTGCATATCGGAGGCCTGACTTTAGTAATCTTCCCCTTTTCCTACAAGGAATCGTTGAGAAGCAGAAGGAGAATTTGCCGAGGATATGCGGTATAAGTAGTAGAAATATCGTTTTTTTTTTTATAACATACGGTGGCAAACGAGCAAGCAGCCACCTGAAGCCGCAAAAATGACGAAGCGACCGCTGCCCATAGACATCCGCGATCGCAGATGCGTTACCTACCCTTATCCGACGGAGGAAGAGACGCACATAAAGAGGATATTGCATCACCTCTACCGTCAAATCCACTTCCCTTTCCCATCATCTCCTTATAAGAAAAGGGTGGTAAAGAGAAAGGGACTTAAATTAGGCCTCCGGCACCACTCTCTTCAGACGAAACACGGAATTGCTTCCATTTCACACCTGTCTTCTGTGTGGTCGTGGTATTACACCGGTCGTGGCCCATTCGTGCTAAGATGTTAAAGCGAGCACTACCACTGTCAATGTGTGTTCTGTTTTCTGTGCGTGTACTGTGTTGATTAAAGTGGGCAACGCACCTGTGATTATGGCTGTCTTTGGCCAGCAATCATATGGCTATTCTGGCTGATGCTTTCTTGTTTTTTATAACATACTGTGAAAAAAAATAAATCTGACTAACATTATAAATGCAATAGTTTAGATGTATGTTTGTTAGAGTTTGTAGCCTAAACTGCTGAACGAATCTCGATGAAATTTTGTAGAGAAGTAGAATAATCTGGGAGAACACATACAAAGTGAAAAACTTCAAGCGCCAATAGCCTAATGGTTTGTGGTACGGACTACCGATCTTGCGGTTGAGGGTTCGACGGCATTCGACTGTCGTGAACCATATCCTAGCACAAACCTAGAGCTTAGTTCGAATGGTCAAAGGAAACATTAGTCGATTAAAAAAAGAGTTTTATTTTTAATTCCGCGCAGATAAAGTCGCAGGGAAAGCTAGTATCATTCGTATGCAAGAATTTGAATTGTGCTCTACTATCCCATTCAGTTCAGCTAGTTAATATACTTACGGAATCGAACTTAGATTATTTTTAACGTATAAAATAAGGTAAGAATACCAACAACACCAGTAGCGTCTATTAACACATTCATAATCTGTAATTTCTTCGCTCTCCGGTGACAGCGGCACCTTTCGATAGCTTTTTGTCGATGATAAAAGTAAAAAAAAAAACAAGACAAAAACTGACGCTTTCTAAAACGTTCGCGGGCCAACGTCGTATCGTAACTCGGCTAGGGATAAGGTTTTTGGCGAATGTAAATTATTCTACATTCAAACATAAATAAATTGTCTAAAACTTAATAATTACAGTAAAACTAATATTATAAATGCGAAAGTTTAGATGGATGTTTGTTAGAGTTTGTAGCCTGAACTGCTGAATAGATTTCATTAAAATTTGGCCTAGATGTAGGGGATAGTCTGGAAGAACACATAGGCTATTCACTTTTGTTTTTTTTTTTATAATTCCGAGCGGACGGAGTCGCGAACGAAAGCTAGTTGGATACAAAATTTAATCGCTTCGCAATTAAACGATTTCCTTTTTGCATTTTATAAGTTCAAGACTACATCGTGTTAATTAGATAACCTTTATCCCTCATCCATCTTCTAAATATTTCATGAATTATAACGGATTTTCACTTTAAAAACGCATATAGGAAACATATAGACATCCCTTTCATACGCACTTAAAGAACAAGGATAACAATAGTTTACTAGCAATGTAACGTTTGAAGTTTAGACTTAATAAATGAACTCATTAACAGTGTACGAAAATTAAAAATAAAACTTAATATAGACCTATGAAATACTAGAATAGATTTATATTTAATTCCAATTCAAATATTAAAACAATAAAAAACGGAACAATTCATTTACACAACCTAAATAAATTTTCACTAAGACAGTTGCAGCAAAATCTATTTAATAATTCAGTAACGTGCTAAAATGCTTGTTACATTCCTTAATTTACCAA